GCCCAGCTATAGTCAAGTTTTTTTCCGGTGGTAAATTAATGTAGCGAACCCGACTGGGATTCGAACCTGGTTCTCCAATTTCTAATTCCTAGCCTTTATCCATTACCACAGACAACACAGACTAAATTGGGGTTGTGGCCACATTACGTTGAAACACCGGTTCTCGTACGATCACGGAAGTTAAGCAACGCCGTGCCTGGTCTCGAGATGGGTGATATTTGGGAATACGAGGTGTTGTAAGTTTGGATCCGTGGATGGTGTAATAGATAACAGCTCGGAATTGTTAATCGGAGAGCCGAGTTCCAATTCCAGTCGAGGTGGCTATATTCACTTACACGCAAATACTGTTGGAAAAGAGATGGATCTACCCCTCACCCATATATGGGTTAATTAGTTAGTAAGACATCTATCAATAATCAATATTATTTAAAAAGAAATCTTACAATCACAAAATAGTTTAAATAACCTGCAAAGGGTTGATAATCCGTCGAAAACGAATCAATCAATGAATTTATTGATTAAGCAAAAGAAATTAAAAGAAGAAATTAGTAAGACTTGTAAACCATTATTATCGCCAAAATATGTTATTAAAATCTAAATATAGTTTCTGGCTTTAAATAACCTGGAAAGGGTTGATAATCCGTAGAAAACGAATCAATGTTAATAACAACATTTTCCGGTCTGAATTGTCCGAATTAGTCCAATTCATATAACCTGACTTATTATACTAGTTTAGCTACAGAGGAGCCTCTGGTTAGCAAGGTCGAGTTTACTGCTTTTAAACTACAAGTCTATATTTCTAAGACGAGGTATTATGTAAATTATTTACATGATTCGGACTATTGTCGTCATCTTTGTCGCCATATTTATCACAACGTTTCGTTCGTTGTACGCTCCGGCCTTCTTCAGATGGTTGGAATGTCGAACTGAACCCTTTATTTCGTTCACTGGGGTAGACTGTTCTAGTTATACGTGCCATGTTTAATGGATGTCAGTTATCAGTCCTCAAGAACACACGGCGCAGTGGATAAAGGCGTTGGTTAGATCCAGTGACAGGACCCAAAGAGTGTGAGTTCAATACCCGGTTAAAGCAGTGGAGAAATTTCAGAGTGAAATTAACAGGAGATAACTGACATCCATTAAACGTGGCACGTGGAACTAGAACAGTCTAATGTAAAAAATGTGTATATATATATATATATGTGTGTGTGTGTGTGTGTGTGTGTGTGTTAAGATATTACACCGAAAGAATATGAAAATCGCTACACAATTGTTGTCGTGTTTCGATGCGTGTCAATGCATCTCACAGTATCCTAAAATAAAGAATATTGCTCTACTTTGTATTGAGCCCTCTTTTAAATTAAATGCAAAGAACGTTGAAACTGTACCCTATTCGTTCTCATCTTACCTGTATATATATATATATATATATATATATGTGTGTGTGTGTGTGTGTGCGTGCGTGTGTGTTCCTCTCTGTGTGTATGTGTGCGTGCGCAGATATGTAGAAAATAGGAAAGAATTTGTTAGGTAAATAACCCGGAGTTCTTTAGTATTTTTATTTTTTAAAAACAGTGCTCCATACAAAAGTTAGCTTAAATTATAATTATTTTAAAAAAAAAATATGATTCCTTCGCTACATAAGAGATCTTATGTTTCAAAAACGAAAGCCGAAAAACTCAATATAATCATTAAAATTAAATTGATTTAAAGTATCAAGCCCTGATATATACGAAGAAATGGGCAAAGTCCGACAATTATTTTAATATTTTTTTATTCTTATACGTTATTTATATGGATTCGGTTCGGTAAATGTTGTTAATACTATTTGTTATAACTAGAGCATTTACTTAAATATTTGTTTCTATAGAAACACCGTATAATAAATGAAATATATTAAAATATTTGTCGGACTTTGTCCATTTCGTAGTGTGTGACGTCATTTGTTTACGTTTAGATACGCTTCGAGCAGATATGATCGTTCCAGGGAAATCATGGAAAGTTTATAGTTTAAAACTAATAAAATCAACCCGGCAAACCAGACGCTCCTCTGTAGCTAAACTGGTATAGCACGCCACGTTATATGATGGTCCCGTGAGGGATACAAGTTCGATTCCTGTCGGTGGACACATATTTTCTATGATAATTTATCGGACGTTCACACCGGTAAAGGTTGCTAATACTGTTTATTATAGACAGAGCATTTACTTAAATATTTGTGTCTACATAAATAGCTTATAACAATTTATATATATATATATATATTACAATAAATCATTCATGCAAAATAACTTAGTAAAGTTCATTATATAATTTAATTTTAATTTTTTCCCACCAATAAACTTCGTCCATTGTTCTTTTTTATTATATAATTTAATTTTAGTATGAATGATTCATTGTAATATAAATTAAACTGCACCACACACACACACACACACACACACACACACACACACACACATCTATCTATCTATCTATCTATCTATATATATATATATATATATATATATATATATATATATATATATATATATAGCCTATTGGTAGTCTTTTAAAAAATAGTTCTGTATTAATTATAGACTTCTATAAAATAGTCTGGTATTAATTATAGGATTCTAGTAAATGTCCATTATTAATTATAGAATTCTAAAAAAATTAGTTCTGTATTAATTATAGGATTTTAAAAAGTAGTTTTTATTAACTGTAGGATTCTAAAAATAGCACACTGTGGCACCATGCATACCTGACGAGCTGAGAGAAATATTCATAGATATATGATTTGTTTTTTACGGTTTATCAACCATTTAATAATTATTTAAGGCCGAAAAATATTTTGGGTTTTAAGAATAATTCTTTCTTTACATTCAAGCGATCTGGAAGAAAGAAAGAGAAAACGAAGAAGAAAGAAAGAAAAAATAATACGAAAACAGGTCATAGGCGAGCACACACACGCACGGCTCACAGATAACAGGTGTCGAAAAATATTCAGGTCAAGCATCTGACCGATTTCCGCGGATCCGCGAAAAATGGAAGTTTGTTATCAATTGGTCGTCACCCAAGGGAAAAGGAGAAACGAAGTTTAGGGACAATGAAAATATTGATAAGTAACAAGTGGGAATGATAATGATAAAAGGTCTAAGTGGGTGGGGAAGTGTATCTAAGGATATGAAGACAAACCATTAATACGAAAACATAGACAGTCTCCAGAATTAGAAAAAGCCCACACAAAGTGGTCACTGCAAAAAATTTTTTGAGATAATAAAGATTTTTATTATCAGACCTTCGAGCGGAGGGAAAATGAAATATTTTTATTCCGTTTCAGAAACGCCAAAGAGTCTGAGAAATTCCTTTCTTAGATCATATCCAATTAGCGATAAACTGCTTGACAAATACCACGTGTTGGAAAGCCGAGAGTGTCATCTCAGTCGCTCATGATAAGGGCGATTTGAATTAATATTTTTGTTTTTTAAGCAAGGTATCTCTTTCCCAAAACAAAGCCACGGATTGTCCACGCCCGACTAAAGACGTCATTGGCTAAATAAGATCACATGACACACGAAGGAGGAGGAAAGATACCCGACCAGGACCTCATTGGCCGAGAGCGGTCACGTGACGCACGAGGAGAATCGGTCGACGCCCCTGTCAGAAGTGTAAGTGTAAGGAGCCGATACGAAGAAGCGGGTAAGCGGGTACACGCCCCTCAGAGGCACAGTAAGGGAGTGGGAGTGAGAGTGAGTTACCGAAAATGGAAAAAAAATGAAAAATCCCTAACCAGAAATAAGAAGGGTGGATACGTATTTAGAACTATCGAAGAACCCCTGGCGCCGACAGACCCACCCCAGTTTTGACGGCGTCAATAAAAACGAGACCCCAACCGACAGAAATCAATTCAGCCGCGGACGGCGAAAGAGTTCAGCCGCGGACGGCGAAAGAGTTCAGCCGTGGACGACAAGCAGAGATGAGCGCCCAGTGTTGAAACCGCGTCAAGATAGCTGACCAACATTCACGCACACTTCTGGACTCTTCTTCAACCAAGAACAATTAGTTTGAAGAGCGACTTAGAATCAGACCACAGAAATAAGTTTTTTTTTTCGACTTTCGTCCAAAGACACACCGAAACACAAATTTCTTAGAGAGCAGACAACTTGAAGCCTTAAAGTTGCCTAGTAAAAGCGTCGTGCTACAATCCACAGAACGGGTCGGGAAGTAGACATAGTCCTATGTAGCGAGCAAATAGACATAAAAAGTTTGTTACCTTTTTCTTTGATACGTTGGACCTTGTGAGTTTTTATTTTATTTTCTGTTATACATAATTGTGTGTTATCACCCCCGTTGGACTCAACTTGCATTACGGCCCCAACCCCTGTTTGATCTCGTCTGTCTAAGATCAATTCACAACGTGGGTAGGCAGACTGGAGATCAGTGCAGTTACCCTGGTAACCAGGCGTTGGAAGCGGGTTGGGAACGGCGAGGCTGGTATCAATCTAACCAAAGGGTTAGAACGTCACGTTTGGAGCAGCGAGGAGCGAACAGCTGACGCCGCGGCGAAGACGTCATAGTTGGTGCTGTCCGTGACCAGGATATCAGAGCCTGGGGAGCACGTGACGTCACAATTGGCGCCGCGACCGGGATCGAACGACACAGTCGACGCTGCGACCGGGGGACGACGTCACACACTATTAATGATAGGATTCTTAAAATAGTCTGTTTTTAATTTTAGGTTTCTACATATATCACTCTATTAATTATAGAATTCTTAAAATAGTCTGTTTTTAATTGAAGGATTCTAAAAATAGCACTCTGTTAATTATAGGATTTTAAATATCGGACACAAATAAATTGGAGTTTATAAAAGTCTTGTATTCATTGTAGCTTTTTGTATAAACTCTATTCATGGCTATCATCCCCAAAATGAAACAATTGTATTTAAAGGGTTAACAACAAACAGAAAAGAAAACCTTTGGCAGAATAATTATTTAATAAAAAGGTTAAACGTTTCG